TCCGTGAGAGGTTGGATTGCCTACGCGAGTTGTAAAACCCACAGCCTGAAAAATAAGTGGCAGCTTTACTAGTCAAATCCGCTCGGCTCAGACTCGGACATTATTATTTTCCTTAGGGAAAGTGTGTAGTGGCTTCCACTTATCCTAAAATCAACTGGTTGTATATTGTCACAGTCACTTGTGTTGTAGTGTTTCGTGAGATGAAGCCCAGTGTGATATGTCATTTAGACAGATTCAGGATATTTTCATCGAATGATGTTCTTTTATTTCGTTTGAAGCATAGGATGTAATAAACAGATATTACATTGAACGAAAGAACACCGTTTTCATAGTTGTCACAGCAGTTTATCTATTATCAAATTATGGTTAGACTTTAAACAATATTGAATCAGTATTTTTAAGATGAATGGCCTATTTTGTTATTTTTTGATCAAAAGCTAACGATTATTTTGCATCGCTTGGTATCGTAACCTACACACTTTGTGAAGGAGTACGCTAGTCAATCATTCGTTAAAGTATAAACCAAATCAATTCTTGATAAAACGAAGACAACAGAGATTGTGTTCGAGAAATCAATCAAGATCTCCAGTGAAATAAACTAAGTAATATGTGCGAATGTCATGACACGCGGGCAACCTATCATATCAAGGCACAGGGCGAGATTGACTCGATTGTAAAGCTAAAGTGCAAGTCAGAGCTGTCACCAGCTACACCGGAAGCCCATTATGACCGTATTAGCTTGGCCGATTCTTGCCTTGCATAGTAAAGCAGTTATGAACGCTCCCGATGTCCACATTGATTAGGGATCGCTTTGTGCACATTACCTCCTATATCCACTACTCTTAAATAAAAATAAGTTTCTCTTAGGGCTCCCCAAGTCAGTGGCATTTATTTAGACACTTGTAGCACCTATGATGGTTGTGGCCTAACCAAACTAGTCGTGAAAATTACAAGTATGAGATGAAATCAGAGACAGTTTTCGTTTGTGTTATTTCTCGATATATTCGTTATAGCGGGATATGAGTACAATTACAAACCTAGACGCCCTAGTCGCTCACACAGGCGTTACCTTGCACAAATCAAAATATTCCGCTCCGTTGATCACAGCAATTTGGCATCAATGATTGTTTTCTTGAAACCTCTATATGAGTAGATAGTATACAAATAAAATAATAAGATTTCACGAGGGTATACGATAACTCACAGAAAGCAATTGGAAAAAAACAAAAACAAGAAGAAGTGCGTGCATTTACTAGATTAAAAAAAAACTGAAAATAAAATTTTATTTTCATGGCGTAAAGTTGTCATGCAGTGTGCTTGATTTAACTAACACATAGGTGTGCAGAGATTATCCTTTTTAGCCGCTGGTGAAGATAGTGATAATGATGCGTTGTTGGTCGATAAGACACAATTATCGAATGCTGTGATTATGGCTTTCGGCGCATTTAAAAACAGAAGAGGCCGTGACGGCGACTGACAAGAGTGGAGATTCAAGCGTCAAGCCCCGATTACTGGAAGGAACTCGGAAGGAACTCGGAAAAATTCGGAAGGAACTCGGAAGGAAGCCAGACTAGGAGTAGAAGTAGTCATTGAGGAAAAATCGCATTCCGAAGGGAGGGGGGTGTTTCCGATGGGGGATACTGCATTGAAAAGTAATCATACTCTGGTTTTATCGATTCCTCGCAGTTGACTTCTCCAATGCGTCGATATTTTGTAATTAACGGACTGGGAAACTTGATCGTTTGGACACAGGCTATCAGACTCAACAGGTAGATTTTGATTGCATACATGGGATATGAATCGTAATATAGTGATCACTTAGTAGTGCAACTACCCCAGGCTTTTTTTCATGTAGAAAAATATTGACATAGAGCTGTTTTTCATTTCTCGTTCATTTGCATATCCGACAAAGGAAGATATCGACTTTTTCTAGTGTATGATTTCCATGATAAGTGGACAGCATATTGTCATACTATTGTACTCGCGTCAACCTTTCATCGATGTTGTTAATTAATCGAGCAAGAAAGACACTTTTAACTCATTAAGCGAAGTATGCTCGTGAGTAGAGTAGTAAACAAGTATTAAAAGCACCACGATTGTGTTGGAGTGCCTTCCTGCGCTCTCTGCCGCGCATTCAATCAGACGGAAGTTGGCTGCCTTTTTGCCAATTGCTTTATGCGTGTTCATTGTCGCTGCAATAGAAAGCTTTTAAGAGCCGTGGCAAATTAAACTAACCGGACTTGGTAAAACTGAGACGGGGATTGGGGAATCGACTGGAGCACGGTTTGCCGTGTTTTGTCATCAACACGTATCCGCTGCTGGGGTTTAGCATTCTGTTCATATCAAGATCTTTTTCTGGTCTCAGTTCCTGTGGTGCAAATTACGAAATGGCTCTCTGTGATATCGAGCAGGATACGGGACTTTATCACTAATTTAGTGAACATTAACAAAGTGAAGCTATTAAACGTTTGGTTATTATACACAACTTCTATTGTAGTTTGTAGAATCCCGCCAAAAATACGTCTACACGTTTTCACCAAACTTTCAAATGCTCGGTTTCGTATCAATCATACTGTGATAGATTGTTGCCATGTCAACTGTCATAGTAAACAAACTACACAATTTCAAAATTTTAATTTAAATATTATTGTACAAATTTAAATTACGGGACCGTAGCAGCAAATATTTTTGCATCTTCGGAAGTATTTTTTGTTTTATCTCTTCCTATTGAACAGAAACAAAACACCATGAGATGAATAATTTATCACAAGGCGGAATATTTATTAAAATATCGAAGAAAAATTTTGCTTGCTATCTATTTTTTGGGCAAACCTAAGTTATTGTACGATCTGTCCACGACAATCATCGTTCCATGTATAGAATAATATTTATATTATGTCCGTCCGATGGCCATACTCGTATTCTTGCACAAATCAACCCCCATGACCGTTATTGTAATCATAATTTATATACGAAATAAGTTGGACATTAAATGTCTAAATATGGTGAATTAATTGCTTTACTGATCTTTGTCGGCTATTTTAAATAGAGGGCACTATGGAATTCAAACGGTGGCAACAATAGGGTCAACTTCGTCGACGTCATTTTCAACTTGGTGAAATCCGCCCAATTTCGCATTTTAAAGGCTTTTAGGGGAAAATACCAACAACGTTAGTTACATTCACATTTCTATATTGACTAACAACCGGATACAGTATAAAAGCTTTGCCGCTTTAAAACATGTCAGCGAACTTGTAGCCGGAACCAATTTCTTGGCCAATCTTCGCCTGTCGTCTGCGTGTCGTTCCCGCGTCTATTTCTGAAATGTGTATTCACATTTGCAGGTAATTATCTGTCCGCTCAGCTAAGATTATTCTCTGCTTTACTCAGTAGTTGTAGCACTGATCACGGAACTATGCATGAGCGATCTCTGTCTTTGCCATTACTTCTGCTCACACGTCAGCAATATCCCACATCGTCTGCTATCCAACCAAACCAGTTAAATTGAATGAATTCAATTGTATTTTCTGTGAAAAATACCCGTGCACAATTTGCGTTATAAAATCATTATCTGTGACGCACGGTGAGTTCACCAATAGGTGATTTTCCGTACAATTGCGAGATCTCGCGAGATGCATGAAAGACGCGCGTCGAACGTCTGCCGCAAAAATCAAACGATTTGATTTTGAACTAGAAATTTTATTTCGTAGCTTACATTGACCGGCCGATCTTCGACAGAGGAATATTGCTTCCGAATACCCTTACTTAATCGAAATTGCCTATTATCAAATGTGGACAGCACATTATTAAGCATGGAAATGTCCCCGAAATACTTTCGCGTTTGTCGAATCCCACGCGATGTTTGACGCGACTACGACGCTATGACCTTTGTTTGTCCTGTTTTTACGTTCGATTTCACGCATTGCGCGTAATTCTCGCAGTGTGCGGAAAATGGTCTATTGTACTGAACAGTAATATGTTACAGTTTTTAAAATTTAATTTACATTTGTAATTTTGACGTATCCTAACATATAGTAGTTATTTAAAAATAATAGGTGAACAGGGTCAAAGTTCACTGACATTGTAAACGTTGTTCAGCATTGCAGGCTCTTAAATCCCAAATTGACGGTAATGTAACGACTTAAAATGTAGGGCTACTTGACACTGAGTCAGTGAGTCAAGTACAAACCAACTTTGACACAATTGGTTTCTTACTTTTCTGGAAACCGTGGAAACGTTTCCCAAAACGAGTACTCACTAGATGTTGATATTTGTATGTTAGAGCCCGCGATTTAAAAATCATCTAGTTTTTTCATCGAAGTCTCGCTCGACTCAATAAAAGGCTTGGTTAAATTCAGGTTTCAGTTTGACATACAAGTCGGACATGTTTTGTTGAAATGTTCAAAGTTTCGAAGATTTTCAGTGAAATAAATGGGGTGGTTCGTTGGTACGAATCATGTAACATCCCATGTATATAGTAAGACTGTCAGCGCAGAATTGCCTTTGTTTGACTGTTTGTGCTAAAGACTAAAAGTCAAAACATGCACATGACCTTAATTATGACTACCCATCAAATCCGCCCGAGTCAGTGATCGACTGGAAATCTGAACCCAACTTCTGTTACATGCCTATGAGAGTTGGCATGTAGCGCCGTAGATGATATCATATCCCAATATTCCATTATGGCGTTCACGATCAAGGCCACTCTCAATAACAATACGGTGACGCCTGACTTCACAAACCACGCCCTCTGGAGACAATGATAAAAGAGTAACTTTATAAAAAAATGTAATGTTATACCGACTTATTAATTGTGAGCGTGCATGGTTTGTTTAGTGAATTGGTAGTCTCTCCGCAGACCAATATCCGTTACCCCATTTTGAAAAAAAAAGATGCTTAAAAGGGGAGCTTGACTGTTTTCAGTTTCATCTTGTATCATTGGAAGAAATATCAATGTAACAATGAAAAATATTTTAAATTTTTTTTCTATTATGTTTTAGCTCGATGTGTTCCTGATATGCTGTGTTCGATGCTCTCACAATCGCGAGGTATTTCATATTTCTCTTATCATCGACTTTTATTACCACACTCACTCCCGCCAAAATTATTTTATAATCATTTTATAATCATTTTGTACTCAAATTTATCTTGGTTTACGTTGAATTTAAAGACAAAATTGCGTTAATTTTAATTTCCGCGTGCTTATAATTTAAAATTGTATGGAAACGATTTATATTTCTGAACCAGAATCGGTGGCTCTTTCATCACTGAATGAAATTATAGAAAAGTCAAGGGTCTACTACAACAACTGCTGCCCTAGTTCATTTCCTCAACTGATAGCATTTTAACATATTTCCGAAAACATGGCGCTATTCAATTACTGGGTCACGTTTCGTGTACAATGGCTTGCCATAGCCGCCGCTCGAGTCCGGCTTTTCGCCTGGTTAGATAGTGGTGCCACTTCATAGCTCCGCAGTTTGCCACTTTACTGTGAAATCGAGAACGATTCGATAAAACGCTGTTGTTCTTGCTAAACGACTAATTCGATTCAATGTCTATGCAACAAAAACCGTCCCCTGGTACTTGAACGAGTTCGCCGAGAAAACGTTCCACGTCCCGACTGAGTTGGATAACATTTTTCGCTTTAGTGCTTAAATACATTGTAAAGACGGGACTGAGGAATTAATTAAATTTAGTACAGAGATAAGGGTTAGATAGCAATGGTCCCATGGGTGAAATGAATTACTTGTTCGCTGGCTGGTACATAATTGTTGGCATTTACATTATGACATCATACATTTTAACACTAAATAGTTGTAACTTTAACCCGCAATCGGTCAAAAATGTCGTGTCATCCTGCTCTGGTTTCGACATAATGATATTTTATTTGCAATGTTCAATTACCAGTCATTAAGTCGTGTGCTATTTTATTTGCACGTAATGAGAATAGTTGTCGCTATGCTATTTTCTCCACTCCAAATCACAGTTCTTGTAAAAATGGAAATTTACAAGTATGTATTTCTGTGAATTTTTCAACCACTCAAACTCGCACCTGGAAAGAACATCCAGCGGAGCCGCTCGGACTGAACCAATTTTTCGTAAAGACAATAATATCAGCTTACCGTCCCGCAATTTCAGTAATTTAAAGACATGTCGTGTTATTTTTTTTATAGTTTCACAGTAACAAGAAATTAAAATATCGAAGGGTTTCTCTAAATGCATGTGCGACTTGGAGTCTCCACGAACAAACCCAACCAAACGTTGGCATATAGTGTTATATAATTTACTTTTTTATCCTGTTTAATGATCAATAATTCTAGTCTCGTTGTTTACTTATTTCTAGAAACAATGTAATGTTAATTTTTGCCAGCACTACGTTAAACTACTCTGCATTTCATCTAATTCATAGAAAATGACGCTGGAATACATGCGAATCGTGCAGACATGAAAACCCCGGTTATTTTAATAAAAGTGAATAACGACTGTACACGAAACCGAAGCTCGCCTCACAGAGGGGGGTGATCAAGGAGACGATAAATGGTTGAACACGAGCACTATATCATTTATGGAAATACTAATTTACTATCCAAACCTACTGAAACACACCGAATCGCAGTTTTTCGTTTTTTTTTTATGTTTTCTTATTTTTCAAAATGCAGTAAAGATTAGCTCAAAACCCGATTATCGATCAATTAACCTACAATCTACTAGCGAATCAGTCGCGTTGATTGCTTTTGTTATAAAAACGTGCGTAATTTCCACACCCCAAATTGATTTAAACCCCACCGTACAGGCAGGAAAATATAGCGGACACGGTAAATTAAAACGAATCGCCCAATTGTGTGTGAATACAGGTTAACAAGTGAAGGGTTTTTTTCATATGTAGAGGGACAATATAATTAAAATCAAAGCATCATCATCGATTTAAAAAAAATTCAAACACTAGCCTCTTTAGAAATGTCCCGTTTATTGAAATCCAACGAGCCCCTAATAAAATAGGCAGGCTCCCCGTGAAATCGTCGATCAATTTGACGTGGACAAAACAAACTGAAGTCGTTTGTATAAGCATGATTTAAAATCTGTTTTAGTGAGAGAGCAAAGAGCGTGAGTGGTTGGGAATGCATAATCAATTGCAATATTTAATTCTTAGCACGGACCTTGCATATCGCTTTGCAAATAGTTCATTGTCACGTGACCGGCGGAACGTGTTTACTTTTTCTTCCACGTTTCTCACACTGTTGCGTGATTAATTGGTTCCTGACGTCGGGCATGTTTTTTTGTTCATTTTTATTGTATTTATTGCATCGATTCTTGGAGTTTGTACTCGGGCTGCCTATAGAAGGACATGCGTTTCTCAGAAAATTTGTAAATTGCCAAAATATCGTTGTAAGTATCGACGATTAATGTGGGGATGATTATACTAAAAAAATATTGATATAATGGCAATAATTCTGCACAAATATGTCTTTTTTCTATACACTATGACAACGACTTACTTTTAACGCGAAATTAGGTGTTTACAGCCTTTACTCCTTCAAGTACAAATGCATATAATTGATTCTATTATTTTATTTTAAAATATTGATAAATGTAGACTATGAAAAGTGTATTTGGTCTAAAATTCAACTATAGACAAACGAACGCACAAAATGTTGCACCATCTGACGTGTATGGCGTTCAACAAAACAGTAATCTGTCGTGAACGATTGTTTGTGTTTATTGCATCATTACAAATCAGACTATTCATGTTTCTGGATTGATTTCGAATTTTCACGTTTAGAGGGGAGCAGAACGTGAAGGAGATGAGCTTACTGTAGCAACTACCGCTACCAGGTTACTAGCAGCTGACATTAAATACAAAACGAATATTAAGAGGAAAATGAGCAAAACTAAGACAATATCCGCTAATTTCCCATGAAATTGTAAACGATATGAGAACTTCCCTATTTATAATAACCGATGGAACTCCATGAATATTAGCTCTTTCCGCCTCTGTGAATGTGTCTGTCCGATGGCAATGGCGGCTGGCTTTAGTTGGTTAGCTTCCGTATAGCAGTTAACCCCAGTGTTTTGATCAAAGGAACCAGATCCGAATGTAGCTTTTATTGCCTTGATTGAATTAGCGTCTAAGAGGGTCTGATGTTACGCTGTTCTACAATGTATATCATATTTCAGACCAATTTATAGAAGCGAATGGTCCCTTAACTCTGCTGTACGTCCCACTCATATGTATGTGCATGTTAAAAACGAATCATCATCTGCAATTTTAATTTTACACTTAATCCTATTTAGGGCAGCCTTTCGGTGCGCTGTATGGTGACTCAGAACACCTCTGTCCGCCGTTCAGATATAAAACTTCAATAATATCTGTAATGCTACTGTAATTTCTGGGATGTGTTTAATTTAGTATTGTTATTCCAATTCAAATCTACACACTACTGTGAGATGTACGTCAAATAATCTTTTAATTTTTGTACATTTTGTATATTTTAAAAAGTGTGTTATTATTATGTTTTTTTCTACCATTTTCACGGATGAATGCCAGTCTTGAATGAAATCGCCAAATAATTTAATTTTCGCCGATTTGCAATATTTTCGGTGAGTTTTACACGCTAACCAACCAGACGACGGCACATCATTGTTCGAAAGGTTTTCTGACTATGCCGTGATTAGTTAGTAATGTGTCAGTAATATTCAATACGTCATCACTGACATTTTCAAGCCTTTTTCAATATTTTGCGGCCTATATTGCAATAGAAATTTATTTTCATATTATTGGTAAAAATATGAGATGAAGTTGTGTTTTTATTATGCAAATCGGACTGCTTCACGCCGGAAATCGATGAAAACATACACCCACTATAACTTATAGCTAAAAAATCTCGCTTTGCGGTCTCCTGGTACAGACTTACACGAAACAAGATATACCAATATCACATGGTATACGCCTAGGTATATTTCTTAAAATATACAATTATTAATGGTGTACATACATATTAAGTGTATGCCTTAACCGTGACAAGAACCAGTTCTCATGTATATCAGTTGACAGTAAGCTAGGTGGTACGCTTGGATCCCCTTTCACGTCAACATAATCGAATTATGTATTGATGGAGATGAGGAAAGTTTTATGGATTGTCTTTCCTCCACGTTTATTGGATTAAACACGCAACTGATCTTTGTCTCAAATAGTCATACCTCGAAGCTAAAAGTACAAAAATTAGCATGAAAACGAGCATCTAAAAATGGTGTTGTCCCTCTGCACCTGTACTGAGTATTCTTTAACTCCAGGGTGAAACCTTTTATGTGTAGGGGTGGTGGGGTATGCGAGGGGGTTGTGAGGGTATGTGAGAGGGGTTGTGGAGTGTGTGAGAGGGGTTGTGGAGTGTGTGAGAGGGGTTTTGGGGTGTGTGAGAGGGGTTGTGGGGTGTGTGAGAGGGGTTGTGGAGTGTGTGAGAGGGGTTGTGGAGTGTGTGAGAGGGGTTGTGGGGTGTGTGAGAGGGGTTGTGGAGTGTGTGAGAGGGGTTGTGGGTTGTGTGAGAGGGGTTGTGGGGTGTGTGAGAGGGGTTGTGGAGTGTGTGAGAGGGAAGTTGTGGAGTGTGTGAGAGGGGTTGTGGAATGTGTGAGAGGGGTTGTGGAGTGTGTGAGAGGGGAGTTGTGGGGTGTGTGAGAGGGGTTGTGGAGTGTGTGAGAGGGGTTGTGGAGTGTGTGAGAGGGGTTGTGGAGTGTGTGAGAAGGGTTGTGGAGTGTGTGAGAGGGGTTGTGGAGTGTGTGGGGGTACCGTGACGTTGATGCAATTCAGGCGCGAAGTCCGGTCAGGGTCGAATCAATAACACATTTGGAAAAGATTATTTGCGTAGAATTAGAAAATAACGAACTCATCACACCTTACGTCGAACAAAGACAAAACGTATTTAAAGAGATTGATATTTACATAAATTCAGCCTAATACAATCAGTAAGTTTGAACATATTTGGCTGCAAATATTACATAAAAGCGGTTAACGACCGCTTCAGTATGTTCCACCTGCCCATTTCCAATTTTGAAATTTTAGATAAACTTTGGATTTGAATTTGGCGTGACGGTTGAGTCTGGGAAGAAAGCTACTTTATGTTAGTATTTTTTTATGTTTAACAATTTCGTGAGTAATTTGTCTTTACACATATTGCATAAATAAACAGAAAAGTGTACAGTGTGCGTAGAATTAGAAGTCTGTGACTGCAAGTTGGATCCTCAGCGCGCGTCAATTTCCGACTGTTAGAAATTCCTACTCGTTGTCATCTGATTCTGTATAGTAGACTGTGTTCACGCACCGTCAACACTTAAATGTGTTTAGTAATGACGATCGCGTGTTCACCCTTACCCTTACTGCTATATTTTACACAACAACGTTCCAAAATCCTCAACATTGACCAGGAGGACGCCCCACGGTCACGTTGCCAAGGCAGCCTCTGAAAGGATGCATCTTTTAAAAGTACAACATTCCACTAAAACAATTTGTGTTCAGCGTAATTTAACACCACTTGCTGCCGGCTTACCAAATTGAATTCCACTGAGTTATTTCCCATGATTTCATTTACTGGACTCGGGTTGAAATAAGATTTCCCGTTTGGCACTGCAAAGTCGTGATGAGCATTTCACGACTTTTTAGTCTAGTTACTGACATTATTTCCGTTTTTAGAAATACGATCCATACATAAGGATGCTCTCTTTTCACCCAATTTTGTCGTCAAATCGACGTGCCCTTCATTTTTGTCTCCTCTTCAGTCACGTAAGATCGGCCATTATGCAAAAGAGGGGTGTTAGGTCCGAGGGACCGACCCGGCGCTATGATACAGTTTTGTTACGTTAATTATTTTTAGCTTGTCCAACACAGTATACCAGATAAAAATATAGGTAACGACGAGTCTAAATTTTTTTTTTATTTATGTTTTTTTTAAAGAAATATTCATTTTGTTGGTCTTTCTTGAACATCTCTATAAATAGAGATATGTAAACACTCCGTTTGGAAAAGTGCAATCCCCTCGTTCAAAAACATTCTTTTGACATCGAAATATTTGTATCACGTATGCATGATGGAACAGCATATACACACTGACACTGCCGTGCAGAACCAAAACACAGGTATTCCTCAATTTCCCGTCTTGTTAAAACCATGTGCCTTCACTAACAGTGACGAGGTCGTTTGTTATTATGTTGTACATGAGGGAAACATCTGCACGCTGCCTAAATCCTATCCACTTTACGCATATATTTATTCACTATTGTGTCCGATAAAATCCTTAAAACTTAAATAGCGATAAATGACGTACGACATAATCCCGGCGTAGTTTAAGCAGATCTACGCCAATAGACTGAGTGACGAAAACATACAAAATGCCATGCACGTTTTTTTACAAGCGTTGTCGATAATTACGCCATTTTAGACGACCTTTGTATACAGGACACTTTCACTAAATACTCGCCATTTGACCTTTTTCTCATGTGAATGCGTTTTTGATGAGATTTTATTAACTTTTCCTGCTCTCCGTACTGCTTTTCTAAGCGGTCCTTAATCAGGCGTAATTTACCGTTATTTGGAGCTAATTTTCGCAGTTCACGTTTATCAATAAAACGTCTTTTTGACATCTCGCCCTTTGTGTTACCCGACGTTTTGTCCAATTACCCTTTCCATTGGCAACACAGCACACCGAGTGACAATATTAGTTTTTATATATATGTCGTTCTAAACCTGTGTCATCTTTTTATTGAGATGTGTTAGTAATTTTGCGTCTCGGAGTCCCCTCCAATTTGATCGCTGAGCTTCTCGTCTAATATATTCTTACACGCACCACGATCGTTACCGATAACTGTTGTTTGACAAAAAGAAATTTGAAATTTCCTCAAGAATTTCCAGAACATTTTCCGTTTACATGCGACGGAAAGGAATCAAATGAATACACCTGATTGTCGAGTTGTTCATTCAGTGCTGCCCCCTCTCTCACTCTGAGTTACACCCGTTTAGTATGGCGAGACAGTCGAGTTCGCTTAGAGAAGTAATGTCAAAAATTGCACATACATGCAGATGTCGGTTTGCGTTGGTGTTGATGCTTAATTTAAAAACCTGAATTACGAACCAAATATTTGTATACCCACGAATAATCTGACATTATTTTAATTACATAGTATGTTGTAATTGAAAGCCTTGTATTTCAGTGCGACGACTAATTCACAGAATAAATGCATTTAATGAATTTAACCTTTATTTTTATAATTTAAATACAAATAAAAATTAACGATGGGCTGATATCTTATGGACTATTGACACGTGTTCATTACATCACCCGGCAACGACTTAGAGCCCACCCCTACATGACTACAAATAATAAGTCGCCATCTTCGCTGTTAATGGCGAGGCGACCATTGATCCGCTGACGGACGTCACGACTATTGGTTGTCACGATCGCAATCGACTATGAAAGTTTCATCTGTGGCAAAATGAAACAGGACAAGTTTCGTAAGTTGTAGTAGGGTAGTTAATCGTTTCGAATTCAATAGAATTCACATCAACCAACACATTCAGTAAAGAAATCGAAGCAATTAAACTTATCATTAGTAAAGATTTTGTTAGTAACTTAAAATTAAGAATATCAGTTGGATGAAGTGTCACCTGCCACGTGGAATTGTGCTTGTGCATTTACAAGTTTTTTTAAAAATTTAAATTTTCACTCTGAAATATATCAGAACCCACGTCCCGGGAAATATGACGACGCCTCGTGTAATTAGAACCCTGTCAAAATGTTATTTATACAATGTTCAGGAGTGGGGTCAGTAAAACGAACGTCTGCAATTCAGCAATCAAATTTAAGCAATAATGACACTTGGTGATTTCAAGTCGACCCTTTCTTCAATTTCCGTCACCATTTCCGACATCCATCTCATACCTCGCATTTGTTGACACGATGAAAGATGGCGATCATTAAGTTATGGCTTGTCACCATGGTAACCTAAATCAGTCTTCATCAGTCGCATTTGATACGTGTTCGCCTCATAATCGGTTGGAATAATAAAACGGTGTGTTATTACAGTTCAGTGGGTACCCCGTATCAAGACATTTTGCCGAGGATACCTCGAACACCACGATGTTCATTTGTCATTCGCACCTGTCTAGGTAGCCAGTTGATACTCGGTGATAAATTTTCAAGAGTTTAAGCGTTTTATGTTTATCTTCATCCATCCGTCATCTATATCGTGTTCTACGGTTTATGCTTACCGGCCGTAATGCGTTTGACCAATAAATTACAACGACTTTATTTCCGACTTTGTAATAATTTATTATTATTTGAATTAAACTTATTCTCGTTATTTGTTTCCCCTTGACTACCGTACAGAAAATAAGTAAAACAAAAATGGTTTCATAGAATACAGCTTTAACACTTTATTAACGAAAGAAATAATGCATATTCGAATTCTTGTATTACTGTATTTTCTAAAAGATTATAGTTTTAAATATATATCTGCGAACAAGTAGCAAAGCTCAACCGAACTTTGTTCGATGAAGAATATTAATTTTAAGATCGCCGCGGCCGGAATGGTGAATATCGAACAAGTCACGTGATATTACAATGGATAAGTGACAACAGACCAACTGAATAGTCCCATTTCGTGACAAAATTAAAGTAAGAAAATCCAAGTCATGCACGTGCATCCGGTACGATTGCCAGGCGTGGTAATACAATAATAACAGTGAAGTAAACTTGACGAATATGTTTTTTTTTTAAATAATATATTTGCATTTCCACAACCAAGCATTGCACGCAGGCCGGGCATGGTTAAGTTGAACTATGACATGACAATTCTTAAACTGCCGCGCCCTTTTCCATATTGTTCTGCTTAACTAATCTGCCTGGCAACGATGTGATAATATTTATATAACAATGGCAACAATGTAACATTGTTTTAATTTTTTTTATTATTGAAATAGCACAAACAAAACATTTTTTTTTGTGTACGCTTTTGTTTCTGTAAATTATTATGTTAATATTGTGTGGTAAATACAAAATGTTATCAATAAAAAAATAACATTATCGGTATAACACGACACGTTATGATAATTCTCCCATTTGTTTGATTTTTTAGGAAGTGGACAAATTCAACTTTGGCAATTTCTACTAGAATTATTATCAGACAGCAGTAACGCCAATTGCATCACGTGGGAAGGAACGAATGGAGAATTCAAACTCACAGACCCGGATGAAGTTGCACGACGATGGGGAGAACGTAAAAGTAAACCAAACATGAATTACGACAAACTGAGCCGAGCTTTACGGTATTACTACGATAAGAACATTATGACCAAAGTACACGGAAAACGATATGCCTATAAATATGACTTTGCTGGACTGGCTCAACAAATGCAAATGCACTCTGACCCCACGGCGTACAAGTACCAATCGGACTATTCCTATCTCTCGAGTTACAGCCATGCACCCAAACTGAATTTTATGAGCACGCCCATAGCGACCTCGTCCGCGGGTTTATTTGCTAACCCTACATCGTATTGGTCCTCGTCCGCAGCAGCAAATATCTACCCCAGCAGTCACATGACACATCACCCGAGTCACATGTCACCACACCTTGGGTCATATTACGGATGATGGAAACAGCCTGAGAACAGCTTTGTCGTTTCACCCATCATGCAATAGCAATTCCCTGTTTGCCATGGGACAAGAATGACTTACCCCCAACACGCGGGTACACCAGTCTGTGCATTCACCACTGACTTCTCCAATTAAGGCATACTAAACTCCATATTTAGGCATATTCTCTAGTAGCGCATACCTTATATGGATAGTGTGCATACCTTATATGGATAGTCGACGTAGGTGTGTACATAGGAAACGTGCTACATTTGTATTTATAACATGAAATGTCTGTTTTCCGTTATAAATTGTGTTTATTATCGTGTTGTATTTGAAATTACGTAGATTGGCTGAAATGACGTGTATCAGCATTACGCCGATGCTTGCAGGCCATAGAACTGAAGAACAGCTTTATTCTTCCGGACATTTGTGACATTTTAAAGGGCGGCAGTCGTCGTGCCGCTTCCTGTTCGCGTGTAAAATACATTGTTTATTTACATGAAATTCGAACACGCGCTGCGCGACGACCACCGCGCTTTAAATTTGTTCCTGTCCTTATAACTCGTAATGTGATTATTTTATTGATATGGTAACCACCGCCGTTCGTCAGTTGCAATCAGTTATTTTTATAATATCTCAAAAAAGTACAACCGTCAACGCAATTTGAATTCATATTGATTATATTTATAAGTAATGGGAATTTAAACAAATCCATTTGTTAATGCATAGTTATATAACAGTATTGTACATATCTTGTATTTTCTCGATGTGTTTTGCCAATCTTTGCATGTCAGTTTGCTATACATGTTTTTATTCATACATTGGCTACACTGAGTCACCATTTGGTGAGAAACCTTTAACACCGTAGTAGCTTTGGAGGAAGTAGTAGATAAGTACTCGAATTTACCTTTTTAAATAAGTTGAAGCCAGAATAACAATAAGACAATAATAATATTTATTTATTTATTTATTTATTTATTTATTTATTTATTTATTTATTTATTTATTTATTTATTTATTTATTTATTTATTTATTTATTTATTTATTTA